TGTGCATGTTGGGCTATTGATTGAATTCGATCGGGTAAACTGATTAACGCACCCTGGCCGGCTTCGTGAGATCTCTTTTTTGCTTTCATCTTAACACCTTTGCAAGGGCATTCCCCAACAGTGCGGGCTTTTAAAACAATACCAGGATGGCATCAACGCATGGCCAGCTATTTACCACAAGAAATTCGAGCATTTTCAGATGTCAAAGGTTAAGAAGGTACAGGAAATTTGACGTCAATTTCCACATTGTCAAATTATTATCGATTTCCATTTGCGCATGGTTGTAAACGATCATATCATCAATGAGACAAAAATCTAGTGTGTCAGCCAAGTTTCGCCTACTTTAGTGTAGCGCGGAGCCTCATTTAGAGCCTCAGGTAGCCATCATGTTGCGATCCCATTTCTAGAGTTCGCCATTCCGAGCTTGTCATTAAAAAATGCCACTCTCGTTGCATCCACGTGGCTCGATCATTGAATTCAATCTGCGCCCTGTGCTTGGAGATGACATCGGTTTCTTGTTCGCCGGATATCTCTTCTAATATTCTAAGGCAGCTGCCACAAAAGGTGTGGACATGAATCTTCCTCATGGATGGCAGTATATACATGTGACCACACTGCGACATAGCAAGACCCGGGGTCATCAGTGGAGAATCGAATTTTAGAAGACTGCGCTTTGTGATCCGAACAACAAACGTACAATCGATTAATTGTCACATGCGTTCTAAATGGTTCAATATTCTGGAACCTCGCTTTTTGAAGGCCTAGAGTATTTGTCATTTGTACGACTGTAGTCGGCGCAGGATTTAGCGTGTTACTGTATTTCAAGTAGGGTGTTTGTTTTCGGGGATTTAGGTATAAGAATGACCGTGTACAGTAGAGGCAGAAAATATTGACGTATTTTAAAGTGTGCTTTGGCATATATGAGACTCAGCGGGGTTGTCTCGCCCAGAAAGGCACTGTCATGTTAGAGAGTCAGTTAGCATCTACCATCAGGAAGACGAAAAAGGCTCTCCTACGGATGATCAACCAATCTGGAGCACAGCAAATTTCACAATACAGAGATTTAGGGACCTCAGTGAATTAGACTGCAACGAATGAACGTTCAGTTCTCAAGGTAAGTTCCTAAATTTGGCACGATTTTCTGAAATTCTATTCAGTCGGAGATTGCTCAGTGAAACGTTCTACAGTAGCGAACAGTCAACCAACGGGTTTTATGATATGTATGTACATACGAGCCGAGAAATAGCCTATGAATGCTTTGGAATATCGCGTACTTGAGTCAATGAAGTCTCGTCTCGTCTTTCGGAAGTTGACTTTGCGATTTTCAGTCAAATTTCGTCGTGTCCATGTGAACCGCGCATTCAAAACCGATCACACGAATGATATTATCTCGGTGTGGCTGGAAATACAAAAAAGGTACATTCGATTCAGGCCGACCGGTACAGTACATCTAAAACCTTTTTTCTGCCTGTGTAAGGAGGGTGTAATGGCGCTTACAATATTGGAAATGGAGACCAATTCACTGCCTTTATCTTTGAATATCGCCATCCAGATGTTTCATAGAGGAAAGCCGTCTTCAATCCGAATGCAGGGTAATTGGTGCATTTCGAGCGTAGAAGTCTGGCAATGAATCAAGATTTAGACAGATCCTGCAAGCAAAAACTTGGCTTTGCTGAGCCGCGGAGATAAACCCCTCACTCGCGTCCAAAAGCTTTCTATGGCCATAAGATGCCTGTGGTGACAATCCAAGAGGTCAATTGTGAGTTTGAGTTGGTCGATCTCGGTACGGATGGTTCGGATTCGCTGTTCTATCTCCAAAGAATGCATGCTTACATGAAATAAGAGTGAATCTCATCGCAATGACGGGTGTGATCATGTTGCTAGTTATATTGCTGGGTTCTGTCTTGATTAATGTATTGTTGGGTGCAATTTTGGCTTACGTCCAACGCCACAATGCTTTCTTAGATTGACACTACATGCAGGACATCGCTAGGCTATATTCACCATGAATTTTGATAGTCCTGGGGCTTTCTCACATCTAGGATGTACTTACATGCCTCTCGGATGAGGACATGTTCAAATCATATTTAGAAGCCAAGTCTTGAATTCTACGTGCTGTCAGATTGAGTATGTCCTAAGGCGATATGTGGGCTAGAAGAATCTACAAAGATCCATGAATAAATTTTCCATCAACACAATCAGCCAAGCTTAATCTATCCACCACTGTATGTGTGTTATTTCAAAGCCAGTGTAGTTGCGTTTGCCCGATGGACGATGTATTACTAACCAAACATCAAAAGCAGTGGTGGCTGATCGCCCAACAGTGGGGTACTCAGTGCAAAAAAAATAGGAAATTTGAACTTCGCCCATGATGCCTGTTTTTCGCTTTGAAAAAACTGTTGGTGTTCTAAATGAGCCCGCCTTAGGCGGATGAACGCTGCTAATTCTATTGAGGGTGCATTTGATTATGAATGTGATATCAGAACCGATTGTCTCACTTAGGGCGGTAACTCCAAGTTGGCCGTGGTTGGTTTCCACTTTGATTTCAATTCCTTCAATTTTTAATTCAGTCTTGCCTTTGATTCCATTTTCTTTACTGTCATTATTATTTGATTTGGCTAATGATCAAGGAAGGGGTTTGTGGCGTTTCTTATTCCTCTATTGCTGATGAGTATACGAACCCTCAAATCCCGAACTTGGTTCGAGAACGAGGCTTGCATCACGATGCCAACCACTAGACGGAATATTGAAGAACCAAGTGCTCTAAGCCCTATCAGAGTTAACTTCGAACTACTTCATGCACAACATCCGAACCTATTTGATATCCCTCACGGACTTAGGTTTACCGATGATGACATTCTGTGTGCTACAATTATAGTTTTCTGGCTATGTACCGTTTGTTCTGGCTCTTTTGATATGGCTTGTATCGTGATCAAATGTATTGCGACCGGATTTAAATAACATTGAACTATTTGAAGATCGGTAGCGCATATGTCTCTGTTATTATATCCCATGATATCGATTTGCCGTGAAATTCGTTCATAGGCTGTGCACGAGGACTGATCATCAGTGTCAAGATGCTGTTCCGCTTCATGTTTGATGAGAAGCCTGAGCGTCGACATATGTCTAATAAACTCTCTTCAAGAACTGCCAGGTACCCGTAAGTACATCGTCTATGTATCTCCATATTACTGTAAAGCCCCAAAAAGTTGAAACTTGAGACTTAATCAACGGAACATGACCTTTGGCCGAGTGGTTCGCTAGCGCATAACGAAGTAGATGGTCAGCCTAGGCAAACAACAAATATAGTGAAGCGCGGGGCCGCGAGAGACTTCATCTTCTCAGAAGCGTACAGTATGACACGCTCAAATCCTTGACAAGTGTGTGAGATCGAAAGAATACCCCGAAAAGGAAGATTTCTTAGCGCGCAGTGCTAAGACCAACGCAAGTCACAGCAGAAGAACACGAGCGCATGCGCTCAGGTATCGGCACTGGGCCTAGGCTCAGAAAGCTTGAAGCATGTATAGGGCATAAGCGCCCGCATCATCTTCCTATGATGCTAGCAAAACACATGGAACTATTGACTTTCGAAAAAGTCGTCATAAGGTAGAGTCCAGTCTGGATGTCTCTGAAGGGCTGTCAACTTGCGAAAAGCCATTGCTTATTGAGACTCGGTCGAACATCAGCTTCAGACTTGTCAATTCGTTGCAAAGATTGATGACTTTCAAATCCAACTAGGCTTGACACGAGCTGTTTGATAAGGAGGTCCACCCGTATCTTCTATACTAGCAAGCGGTGTGGTACACTTTATATTCTTGCAACGGATTTTTCATACGGCAAATGTACATCGAATGAGCAGATTGCGACACCTCATCGCTATGTATGAGCGCTACAAACAGCATAACTTTGGAATACCAGACATTATGATCATAGTAGTTTATTCGCAACATACTACTGTAGCAGGTTCTCACGAGAGTAGACGCTTCACTCGAGACGACGAAAAGTCATCAACTTGAGTTATGAAACCCAACGCGAGCGGGCCTGCACCAGCAATTTGTCATTGAGCATGAAGGCTATGTATAGCGATTTATGTAAACACTGAAGAAGCAAACAATTCACTTCCATTGGGTCTTGATGAGAACTCAAACATGGAGGCGAGAGCTATCTTAAATCATCGACAGCCAAGAGGACTCCGTGACTGGCTTGACATTCCATGTTAAAACCCACTGCAAGTCAAGCTCAGGGGTTTGGATTAGCTACAGTAAAGAGTCACTGACAGTCCTCGCAGCTGGAGAATGTCTTTGCAGTGATACATACGTGGATCGAGCACTACAAACAAGCCTATGATTCAAAAGCCTGGGGGCTTCAGGTGACAACTTCAGTCTGTCTGTTCTTCAAGTACAGGCAGACTTCAAGTACAGGCAGACTTCAAGTACAGGCAGACTGGTAGGAATGACGACAATCGTCCACACGGAATAAGCTCAAACCAAGGTGAATATATTTTCATGATATCTATAACGAATTCAAGATTACAACATGAATCTCCACTGGTAGAGCTCAAACACCATACTGAGTGGTCTTTTGTGCGCTCTATTCGTTGAATGTTGAATTTGTGCACGGCGATATTCGAGATTGGCCTCCATCTTTTGCACTCTGTGAATCAGATGGAAGCCAATTTCGAATTCAGTTTGAAGGAGCAATTCATTCAAACAACCCGAAACATTTCGTCTAGTCCCAAGTCAAATCAAACTACCTGTCTTCTGATGATGTTATATACACGTAATCCACATCCGTGGCTTTTGTTTTGTCAATATTTTCTTTCTTTCCGGAATATCTGCCTTATAAGTTAAGGCACCGTTATCTACGCCGAAGGTATTGAATCATTCCCTCTCAGAACACATCCTTGTATATAGGTTTTGTAGTGCGTAATGGACGGCTTGATTGTCGAAATCTCAGATAGACCATTAGTGAAAAGCACAACATCAGGGGAGTCATGCCATTCAGCCAGACCACCCGAGCTTGACAATGAGACGAACGGGTCCAGCAGGTTGGAAAACAGCCTTATCTTTCTTGCCCTGGTCGGCTGAGGTGTAGGCGTTTACAACAGCCCCAGCGCCTTGTGTAATGGAAGAGCACTGTTTGCCATTGTGATTGCAAATTTGCATACCAGAGACATTCATATTAGCGAGCTCGGCAACAATGCAGGAAACGTCCCACCCAGAGAGCCCATCATTCTGCGCATTGCTCATGTCAAATTCTCCCCAGGTCGAGGCATACTGGCCGACGTGGTTGATGGGTAGGCTTCCGCCTTCAGCAGCACCCCATCCACCTTGCGAGTCGTTGTCGATGGCGACAAAGACGCTTTGGCCAGGGCGGATCCTGAAGCTGAGAGCTTTGTGGGGGCTCCAGAAACCGTTCAGGCCACCACCGGGACCATACGAATTCCACACTACCACACACCACACTTTGGAATTTTCATTTTCAAAACGGACAACATGCTTATACTGACTAGCCCTGTCTTCCATGATTTGGATTATATTGCTGCCCCAAGGGTTGCCAACGTTGCCGATATAGTCCCAGTCTTGAAGACCGACACGCTTCCCTGTGGTTGCGGCACCAAATCCATCGACCACGTAGTCATCGCCGGTAGGGTAGTCGGCCCAGCTGCTGAGGTTTGAAGAGGCAGTGCTAGATGGAATTGACGCGAGACTTGTGGAGGTGTGATCCACTTTGCCGTTCGCTATTGTGGCTGGAGCGACCGTCGAACTGAAGGTGGCACTGTGCTCGGCCCCGGAGAATTCCAGATACTGCTGCCCAGTCCATGTGTTGGTCCATGAGACCAGCTGGCCGTTGATAGTAGCCAGAACTTCGGTATCAACGCCACGTTTCCGGGGAATCTCAGAGGCAGTAGTCATGTTCAGCTGGTCAATAATGAGATTGAGATCTAATCGCTCTTTGGATTCGACACGGCCACGATCATGACCGTCAACACATGTGACAGTCAATATCATAGCCAAGATAGTCAAGTGGACAGCGGAAACAAGGAGATGCATTGCTCTTTCTGTCTTCAGAATAGATTATTATGGAATGAGTGAATTGATCGGTTATTCAAAAGGCAATCCAACATAAAAATACAAAAGTGATACAAAAGTAAGTATTCTCATTGTTTCTTTCTTCAGTCTTGGCCAGACTCACCTCGGCCTACACCCAGACTAGCCCATCAATTACAGTCGATTTGGAAAGGGGCAATGAAAGCTCACTTGCTACATTAGGCCTAGCGTCAATAAAAATAGATGTTGAGAAGCAATCAAAGAGAAAAAATTGGTTCAAAATGATTTCGAGCGCGTCTGTACATACATGATAGTGGTTTAAGAACTTTCTCTTCAAAGCTAGACCGGCATGTTATCAACGCTGTCAGTGCTTGCATACAGAGACTGGAGCAATCGATTCTAGACAATTCAGCATACGATTCTCACAAGGTATCCCCGTAGAAACGCCACTGTGTGAACCTTTTACTGTACGATTTCTACGTTCTGCTGATGTAGACGAGGCATGAATATTTACTAGTGCCAAAAGCTGACCAATGAATGCTGTGAATACCAAAATCGATTCTAGCTCCAACTGTGATGACCAGCCTGTGCAAAACCTTGAAGCATTCTAGCTTTTTTTTTTTTTGGCGGGGGGCTATGTACCTCTCGATCACTAGCTGTTTAGCCTCGAACGAGCCATCAGCACATATCAGTCAACGCATTTCAGGTACTCATCTGAACTAGAAAATAATATGCAAGTTGCAAATGGACGCTATTCCACAAATGTTTCGTGAATTGCTATAGTTGAACTTGCAGCTAGGCTATTTTTCAATGTCCCATTGAGTCTAAAATTAAAATCTAGCAGATAAAAGTCCAGACTCCATGATTTGAAATCCAAGGCTCTAGCCTATGGTGTCGACTATATGATGAATCAAACACGCGATGAACGGTCCCAAAACAGAGCAACCGTGGGCTCTTACTGTCATGCCCATTGAGTCAGACTATGCCGCTCTCAACCTTACCATCCCAGGGCTACTGCAAAGACTCGCCACGGTGTTTGAGGCAACGCCAGGAACTACTACAGAAAGAGATAATCGATTGGTTTCCGCAACAGACACTAGAGATAGGGTCTGAAATTTCGACGTGCGACGATCTCAACGCTCAATTGAGTCCGACACGGAGAGGGAAGTGGGTTTCTCTGCCTCTGGATTTTGAACAAGGAAAAGAGTGGAGGAAAAAACACATCTATGGCCGTCCGGAGTCCGCAGCAGATATCGCAACAATTAGACGCCTCGAAGATTCTCCTGATGTGGGGAGTCTGCTCGAGCTGGTTGAGCTTCACCCGACTTTGCAGAAGAATTTTGAATTGAATGGGTTACCTCTGATACAGCAGGCTCTGAGGAGGTCCACGCCTGAGCAGTGGGAGTTTCGCGAGATGGGCATCAACTGTGGGGTTCCTGGAACCAAAAACTACTATAGGTCATTAGGGCTCGTACCGGACGAATGTGCTCACCTAGGCTGGGGTGTTGAGTCCTATCTCCAACACTATGCGGAAGAGATGACGGTGTGCGCGCACGTGACAGGGTTAATAAGAGAGCGATGTACTGGTAGGAACCACGTTGAACAAGACGTGCTCGAGGCGATCAGAAGACTAAGTGGCCCGCGGTGGGCATCCGTGCACAGGGCGTTTTGGCGCGTGTGGACTTTCTGTCGTATCTTTGGTTGCGCAAAAGGACGCGAAGAGGATACTCGAGGCCAGCAGCAATGGTTTTGTGGTTTTGTTGGCAAGAAAGACCTGGTTGCAGCAACATTCACGCCGTCGAATGACAGCAGCGAGCTTCTTTGTTTGCCTCCTGACTCGTTCGGCTATGGAAATGGCCTCGGACTATCTAAGATGGAGTTGCAAGACATGGCAGCAATTTGGACTTTCTTGGAAGATCTCTTGCGTGCCCACCTTGGCTCCCCACCTGCAAACTGGAGTTGGCAACCAGAACAAGAGGGTAAGTCAATTTGATACTCAAGTGGTGCACCACTGCCTGAATGATCCTAATATTTCTCAGCTGAGTGGGTGTATTATATTTTGACTCTAGGCCTGGGGGCGGTGAGCTACCTGCTCAGGCAGTCGCGACCATTTGAGCGTGCTGCCGAGTTCCATTGGACTTCACGAACAGCGTTCTCACCAGAAAGAACTCGCAGGTCTTTTTTAGTTACTGCTTGCGAAGAACGGCTGCGGAAGCTTGGCCAGAAAGGTGAGTTGGGAATGACCGTAGTTTGATAGCGTACGGACAACAAGTTGGCGGCCGCTTTGATGAGTGGCCATTCCATACGGATTTCCTCTCCATCTTATGAGTAGCTCATAATATATTTCAATCCATGGATACCTCCAAGCTATGTAAAGATGTATACATATTGAACATTCTCGACGTTTCAATAGATGCTTTTGATCCCCATTATCTGCAAAGCTCGAGCGGCATGGACAGTGGAGAATGGGAGCTTCGAGCTCCGTTGCCTGGATCGTGGGCCGCGTTAGGGGGACGCTAGCCACAAATGGCTGCCAAGCACATCTCACACATTGAAACAATGCACTACTTCCACCAGACATTGAATTCTAGTACACTGCTTGTTCTTTTTGCTGTCAGACCTGGATATGACAACCTTGAAAAGAACTTCAATTTCAACTAGCAAACTATATCATTCTACAATGGAGCTCTTCTATATCAGTGGATGAGAAATCCAACGCCTACTAAATTCTGCTTAGACATGAAAGCAAGATCCGAAACCGAAGGATCAAAGAGCAACTGCCTATAAACTGTGCTTCTTAGATAGAGCCTACCTCCGATATACTATAGATGGTTCCCAACAGACTGCCTGGACAAGTTCAAGAAAAAATGAAGAATGAGAGAGCGTAGGAACCTCCCGGCTGAACGAATAGTCATCTTCTACCAGAACCATACCGGGGAGCAAGAGACCACAACTCAGAAAGCTCATCGGACTCAGAAGCAGCAATCCATCAGCTGCCATAAATGCGGTCCTGGTTGCGGCGGCGATCTTTTTCAGGGCTGAGGCGGAGCGTAGGCCAGCCATCAGAACCGGAATATAGCAAACTAATGAGTTAAATGGTGAACGGCTCACAGCAAAATTGCGCGGGACTGGTGGCAAGGTTCGAAATAGGTTTTCTCTCAACAAGTAGGAGCTAAGTCAAATTGAGCTGTATTTACTCTATTCCTTACTCATTCAAACAGCCACTGGTTTCCAGAGTGGCTATTCAGTACAGTATTTGATCTTTGACGGATCATGTAGTTCAATGGTTTGAGTGGTAATTTTTGCTTATTTGATCTCCTACACCTGAAATGGCCTCTCGAACCCTTCTTCCTGTACATCGTAGTCTGGGATTTTCCAATGGTTTTATTGCGGACTGAAACTTATTTGAGACATAGTATATTTGACAGGGATTCAACATCGTGATATGACCCTCAATGCATTGTAGTAAATATGGATATTTTCTAGGTCTTCTAATATACAGCGTGAGAGCAAAAATTATTCATCGTAGGTGAGTTTGGTAGAACATCTCGATCCTTCTGCCCTGTCATGATTAACCTGATTGAGAAAGCCGGGCTGTGAAAAAAATGGTTTCAAGACATGCTAGGGAAAGGTCTGCTAAACCCCATTTTCCAAACGGCGTGACGTCCATGAAAAGATATTAGATAGATTTGAAAACCGTGTTGACTATGAGTAGCCATAGTAGTAGTAGTAGAATTCCTTACACTAATCCCTCGCAAAGCAATATGCAGTACATGACAAATATATATCCGAGTACGAGATTTTAGAATGATCCACTTTTTGACAGCAACCTAGAGCCCCGTCACGGCCTACCCTGGCCTATTGCCGCTCTCATTGTTAGGCTGCCTTCATGGCGCGGCTGTTATGAGATTTCAAGTGAGACGGACAGCGACTGTCCGGATTTGGCAGCATTTCTGACAGCAACCGCGAGGATGCGGGCAATGCTGAATGTAATAATCTGGCCAAAACATTTGTTGCGGAAGCTGGTTTGTTGCAGGCTCGATGAGCTGGTTTTTTCCTAGTTCTCTTATCGTCCTTGAACGGCGTTGGTTTATTGTGAAAAGGACGATGAGAATCTTCGATTGTGAGTGTGAATTGGAGGTGCGGTGCGGGTCTGTGAGTTTTGGGTGTCGATTGCGCTAAGGCTATGGGTGCAAGTTGGATGACCGAGGCGTAGGTCGGTTTTTGGCATTGGGGTGGAAAAGTAGCAGTCTGTGCCAATTGGAAAAGGTGAGGAGAGCCGGCTTGCTGCGGTGGCTGCGGTTGAGGTAGCGAGGCTGGTGGGGGTCTGGTTAGAGTGGAAGGGCGGGCTACTGGAGATTCCCGATACAGTACTATATGCTGAGGTTCAAAATGGTTGGTTTCGGGGGTAATCTGTTGAAGGGAAGGTGGTGGTGTGTAGGTGGTGATTTGGTCGAAGTAGTTGTTGGCTGGGACACTGCGGTCGGTATTTCGAAATGTGACTTCAGATCACGATAGATGATCTGCGATATGCAATTCTCTGTGTGTAGTCGCGGTATTTCTTCGATGGGGGCTCGCAAGAGTATGGTTGAAGGGGTTGTCGTTCCACAGGCAAAGCAGTATGCAGCTCGGCTTTTCAGCCCTATTGGCTTGAAATACAGGCCATTCTGCGCTAGCTAGAGAGGGTTGATGCCGCTTAGGAGCTGTCCCATGAACGGAGACAGCCCTGGCGGCGATGGTGCCGTGGGTGGTCAAGATACGGTCACAAGGCTGATCGGCGTGATGCGGGGCGGTTTGTGCGGGTGCAGTAGGGGGTACAGTAGTGGGTACAGTAGTGGAGTGGGGTAGGCGGGTTTGAGGAGAGATGACGGGGGACGAAGAACAGGAAACGGTCTCCTGCCCTTCTTACCATTTTCCACGGCGGAGGTCGTGTCACCCTTGAATCTTCACTTTACAGAGGCGCTCGTCCTCTAGCTCTCCATGGATACATAGCACACCTTCAATTTCCCCTTCGTAATTTTGTGTCCAATTTTGGTCCCGGTCCAATTTTTGGAGGGCTCTGTCAGGTCGTTTCTGTGCTTTCCTTGGTTATCCGCAGGTACAAGCTTCACATTCACAATGACCTTGGACCTCTTATAGAAGAACTCCAGACGAGGGCCGTACACAAACATACATAGCTCTCCTCCAACGGGCGCGCAGCCTTTGTTCTTGCTATGCATAGCCGGAATACCTATATGCCCTATATGGTGCATGACTCCGGACATCCGTCTGTTCCAGAGCCCTGGAAAAGGGACTCGAGGTTAGTCCTATTACCGTAACATACGCTCATTGCAAGTGAGCCAGGGAGCCAACGTGCTACAGTAGCAGTTTTTGGTCTATCTGATTGAGCTAACCTGACGCAAAGGATTCAAGCACAAGACCGAATCAATGAGTCAAGCAAGTATGTCCGAGAGAGCCCCAGCCTGCTCGACGTACGCTCGCCCACTAGCCACTACAACCTAAGACATGGAAAGGGAGCTATTGCGAACTCTTGGAAAATTGAATCAACCTCTTTCAGCCAAAACAGGACGTTTGCTCATTTGCCCGTGGAGCTCATACTTCACATTGTTGAATACGTGGATCACATTTCTCTAGGCAACGTGGCTTTGGTCAACAAAAGTTTCAGAGAGATTGTGAACCCACTTCTCTTTCGGGCGGTCCGCTTCAAAGCGCGCTATGGTCATCCTGTTATGGAATCTCCTCCAGCCGTATATCGGTACACTCAGTCGGTTCACTATATAGCACCGTGGTGCGGCAATCTTGGTACGCTTTAACCCACGCGAAAAAGACTCCGCTTCAGCCCCAGCTAAAGATCCAGAATAGATGTGAGGAGTCCGTGGAGTGACGCCAGCTCCAGACGTACATTGTGGAGCCCCGCGCAACTTTCATATTTCACGCAGGATGTAGAAGATCTCGTCACGATTTTGCGCCGCTGTCGTAACCTCCGTTCTCTCAAGCTAAGTTGGAAGCCCTGTCATCAAAACTTTACATGCATCAAAGCACCCCTTTCACGACAGTCACTCCAATGGTATCTCCACGTACTGGCTTCAGCTCTGAATCGTGGACCCGAAAAGACGCAATCATTGCAGAGCCTCACTGTGGATGTTTTTCAATCACATTACACTATCGACGAGCTTGATATGACAGTGGAATTTCTTAGGGCGGTATCGAAAGTAAAGCGGCTTAGCTTGAGGGGGCAATTCGGATTTTGGGAACCAGTTCTGTCATTCAGTCCAGGGGCAGGTTTACAATCAATCTGCTTAAGCGACTGTGCAGTCTGGCACCACAACCTCAGATCTTTCGCTAAGTGTGCAATCGACGGGGTGGTTTCCATTCACCTCGAGGAAGTTTTCATTCGTCCGTACAAAGAATTGGGATACATCACGCAAATGGGCCCGCCAGTCGAAATACTCGAATGGCTGGATCACATCGTGCAATCATCAACTGGCCCGACCAAAGATCGATAATCTGTATGAAACAATACGCATATGAGTCTGAACCAATCGGTGTCCAGACATCAGACCTTCAACCCACCTTTGCTGGGCGACTTTGAAAGTTTCAGGCTGTATGATTGGCTTACTGGTCTCGTCGAATCATTGTATTAATGCATCCATTTGCTTACTTGTATTACCCGGACGCACAGGTCCAAATGCTCATCAGATCTTTTTCGTGTCAGTGACACACTCTACTTGGGCTAAGCACTCGGAACACTTCCAACCAGACAGACACATGAATACATATAAAGAATTCCGTATAATCTTGAGACACCTAAATGCATGACCATTCCCACGAGCTAAAGATACAGCGCTGGACCTCAAACAAGACCATGGGTAACAATGCAGTGTATTTCGTATTCGCTTTTGATGTTCTCGGTGTTATCATCTCCATTGACAGATCAGCCCTAGTCAGCAAAAACCTCAATCCAATCACGGTCGGGCAGTTTAGATATCCTGAGAAGTTGACTTGCTACCCTCCGAAGTTTTCTCGGGGCATGTTTCTCCATCTTTTCTGCGAGAATATCAAACACCTCGAGCTATTAAAGAATTTATCTACCAAAATTTGTAGATCTTTCATCAACCAAAGGCAGTCCCTCGCAACGGACTTTCGAACAGCGAAGAACCCTGCCATGCAATCTCTGTCAGTAGCAGCCATCATGAAGAATTGTAGTACCGTGGAAGAATATCACGACTCGAATCTTGTTCACTCAATGGATGTACGGGTAGCGTAGCTTAGGCAAGGGCAACAAGCTCACACATCTGCTCCATGGACCTTCGCCGATGACGCAAGGGTCTACTCGGATTCCATCAGACTTTGCGTCTCACTTTGGCCGATTGCGATAGAATACCATCCGAGCTCCCAGCCCCCTTGTGTGGGGGATGAGTTATAAACCTTCCTTCACACCCTGTGGAGAGGGGTAACGCAAACCGCCTTTCTCGCTTTATATCCTCCAGGCATGCATTGTACCGGAGGAGCAACCGCATCATCTCCCTGTCATTGTTGAACATGGCCCACACCAGCGCTGGTTCGCCGTGGATACCGGGCTCGTCGGGAAGTGCGCCATTTTGGAGAAGGAGTTCAGCCACCGATGTGTCTCGGTGGAGGACGGCCCACATCAGCGGCGCCAGACTGTCTGGTTGTGTCTGACCAACACTGGCGCCATGGCGTAGCAGCAGTTGGACCATCTCCACGTTGCCTTTCATGACAGCCCAGACGAGTGGCGAGCGCTCGCCTCCTTTCCTTGCTGATGGATTAACCTTAGCATGGTGAGAGAACAGAAGACTTGCCATTGCAGGCTCATCAAGTACAACAGCCCAGACAAGGGGCCGGTGACCTCGGCTATCGGGTTGCTCCACGTTACAGCCTCCTTCCAGCAATATTGTAGCCAGATCGAGGTAGCCTTCCATGATGGCCTGAATAAGGGGGGTGAGCCCGTGGCGAACAAATTGATTGGGATCTGCCCCTCGTTTCAGCAGTTTCTGCGTTAGCTTGGTCCTGTGTCGCTTGGCGGCCCAGAAGAGAACATTTTCTCCGTGAATATTGCGAGCATTGACATCTGCCCCATTATCCATCAGAATCTGTAATACCGCCTCATTCTGGTACCGAGCTGCAAGAATCAACGGCGTATCATTCTGTCTGTTCTCGGGGGCATTCAGCAACGGCTTGTGGCGAGGGTCACTTGTCAGGAGCCGCACGACTTGCACATACCCCTTCAAGGCGGCGTAATGAAGAGTCGTCATTCCATGAGTGTCACGAACCCGAAAGTCAACTTGCGTGGTTTCCATAAGGAAGGTTACCGCCGAATTCTGGCCTCGAAGGGTGACGAGCTGGAGTAGCCGACATCCGTGGACGAGAGGCATCACGATGCGCCTCGTGCATCTATCAATGGCACCCATGGTGAGAAGGTCCCTCATCGGGAGCTTACTCACTATGAGAATGCAGATCTCGACTGGCACTCGGTTCATCGAATTGAGAGGTCTGATGGTCTTTGCACTCCTCAAAGAGCCAAGAGGGCGTATAGCTCAACAGACTGCCGACTTCTTTATACCTCAGATAAATAAGATGCTGAGATGATATACCAGTGACCCTAACGTTATGTTCCACGAATCTCACGATTATCTGTTGCAATACCTCAAAATCTATCTCCCCTGTGTCAGGCCAACGTGTTAATCCTCCAATCCTCCATTGGGTTGAGCGCTCAATCGAGTGGTGCTCAGTATCAGTTGAGCAACATGACATTTCAATTAACACCTGGCACCGAGGCTCTGTGGAAGCTCCGAGACGTACGGAAGTCGCACCTGGGTATTAAGTGCCAATCACTGTGATTCGATGAACAAGATCATCAGTCCGGTACGACGATATTAAGGACAAAGATCACTCGTTCCAACGCTGGTCGGTGTATCCAGTAGGAGAACCTTATCCGATCCTACATGTTGGAATGCTATCTCTTTTTCTTCGTCCTTGAGTGATTGGCCAAGATTTGGAGGCGGCAAGCCAGCTCATAATTAGCATGGGGTACATCCGAATATTGCTTGCTGGCGAGTGCCCTGTGGGTCAAATTTGAAATGTTGTATGGAAGAAGATTCCGTGTTATGTACAGATCCGCTTGACATCGCTCTCAAGACTCTGGCTTTCGTGATTCTTCGCAAATCTTGGCTAGACCCTTCGGCCTGCGTCCGGTCCGGACCATCCACCACTGTTCAATGGGAAATCAGCTGTGAGGATTCACTAGCAATAAATATTTCATCTAGTGCAACCTAGGATTCACAATGAGAAGCAATAAAAAGAGCTAATTTCGTGAAGCTGATTTCAGATATCTACAGGTACATGAATTTCGTACACTGCTCTATTCTGTTCCTGTTTATCCTCTCATTAGCCTGATCCTATTTCTAATTGTTTTATCGTCTAATCAACCTTTTTCTGATTTTATATCTAGATACGTGCACGCGAAGGATATTGAAATCCGTGGAGACTTGCCGTGGTACTCCGTGGTGGCTTTCGGTAGCGGTTTGTTCTATGAAGAAGTATGCAGCTCTAGAATCACTGTGACGAAACGAAAGAAGTTGGCCCCACTTCAAAAAAACAAGACAGAAACCGGCAGTCACAATGATTCAGCCGCGTGAAGAAGCATACGCTTGACCAACGGTATTGACAGACCCGTGAGTGAGAATGTATCCCTCCGCACACATGAAGTAAGAGTACCGAGTAACCATTGTCTGGGAATCAAGCCAGGAGGTGACGCTTTGAACAAATTTCGTAGTCGCTTCATCATCCGCCACACCACCGATGTCGGCATTCAGCGCAAATTCAGTGATCCAGATCTCACTAAGATCGTGTGACCTAGCGAGGATAGTGGCATTCTCGACGAACAATTTGAAATCGTCGACTGAATCACCATACCAATGAACCGCTGCGGCAGAAATGCTGCAGTCAATACATGACTCCATGAATTTCCCTAGCCAATCAAGCCCCGTGCCTGGAGATATCGACGACGTCACAGCAGGGCTGACTAGTTTTGCCCTCTCTTTAAAGGGTGTGATGTAATCTCGGTAGTTGGCCGCGGCCACGGAGGGAATCATGTTAGACTGTGATGACATGTCAGGCTCGTTAAACCCCAGAATATAGGTGCTCCCTTTGGCGAGGCTCTTTTCCGCCATTTCCTGCCAATTATCAAAAGGAGGTCCCCAAAGCATGGGGACAAATTCGATCCCACAGGGAAGACTATTCAGCTCAGCCATGCCCCAATTATACGCCCAGGATACCGTGCCCGCAGTTTGAAGTAGATGAACGGTCGCTATGTCGTTATAGGCAGCACCTCGCTTGTTGTTGGAATATCCTTCCACGAGACTGAAGCTCGCACATAGGCTTACAGCTAGACTCTTTGTGACTGAGATCATTCTAGATCGACGAGATTGCGACAAAGTTCTTCCAGGCGGATTGCCTTAGCTTAAAAATGGAGGGATTCTGGTCTCTAATCATTAAAGCCAATGTAGAAAAATTTCTTGATTAAAATGTTCTGTCGCATTCCAAATGACCCCAAGGCCACATTTGAATTCCTTGCCGAGTTACAACTGAGGCATTTGCCACTCAGGTCACCGAGTTTGAGCACACCAATTATAGATCGCTACCTCATTTTGATCTGTTATCCGACCTCATATAGAGGAAGAAAAAAATTGCCTACAGTGAGTAGTACATAGTAGTAGTGGTGTTCATTTGCCCTGTTCCCTCGCGAACGATATGCAGGGTCCAGCAACTATATAGCCGAGCACATGTAGAACAGACGGTTAATATTTGACAATGAGCATTTGATTCCACATGAGTATAGAAGTCCAGGTTTTCTACAATAGGAATCTTGTGGGCCGAGCCTCTCTTTATATCTTTCTCTCTTTCTCCTATAATCGGTCCGCCCCCCACTTCCTATCATCCGTATGCGGAGCTCTATTGAATAATGTTTTTCTCTATGGTGGCTTTTGGTCGTGAGCATGGAGGGGATGGAATGTGATCGGATTGAAAGCGCAGGGGATGGCAAATCTTGAACTACTTGCCAAAGAAGGTGGGGATGTCCATGATGCCGAGTAAGGTCTGATATCTGCTCCTGAGGTAGGATATGTTGACTGTAACAGGCTCGTGTGAATAGACACGCTTGATACAGACGCAAAAGAGACTGTACTTTCAAACGAAGTCTTTCCAGTCGGGGGCCAGCAAATCATGATTCATGTTATTGTGGGCAGGATACAAAAAACCTCACCCTAAGCCCATGAGGATAGCTCCACGGTGAGGGGCTGGATATCGAGGATGGCAAGAAAGAATTCCCTGGGAGGGATGCCCGCGAAGATTTGTAGGCTAACGGAACCGGTACATTTGAGGTAAGTGTGTCGCAGGAAAAAGTGGTGCAATTATTGAGAGAGCTGAAAGTTGAAGTTGGCAATGAAAAGATGCCTCTGTAGGTCAACTGTTACGAAAGATGCCTGAAGCGCTTCCTGATTTTGCCGAGTTCACGCTCGCAGGCAAGCTCATGGCCTTTTTCACTCATCCTGACGTAGTTCTGTGGTGTGCAAGAAGACTTTTTCTGGTGAAAGAATGCGTTGTATCCACCGTTCAAGATGTAAACATCAGGATAGGTCAGATCAGGGTAGGTATGGATGTTGATTTTGCGGTCCATCTGACGCACGGACTTGGCCATTGCGGGAGCGCGGTAGGTAGAGTACTCGCAGTGCAGAATAAGGGCTGCACGAGTCTTCGGGAATTCAAATAAATCCATAAGTCTGTCTGTATCGCTACAGTTGACCGCGCCGTCGATGTGACCACCGTCGAACTCGTATTTAAAACGGCAGTCGACGACGATCACATCATCAAATTTGGCGGTGAATCGCCCTCCCAGGAGCTCAAGAAGAGTTGTGGAATCAATATGAGGAAACTGACCCGGTCGATTATCGGGTACAAAACAGGGTACCTCGATGCTGGGCGGCCTCCGAATGTTATCAAGTCCCGGCGTCGAAGTATTCGTCGTTACATCAATATCCTGTTCGGGAATAGTATGTGTAAGGCGATGACCCTGCATACTTTGGCTGTGAATATCCATGACACTGGGTGCACCGAGAACTGAGACGGGGGAATGTAATTTGCGGCGAAGGGGAATTGAAGACGGAGAATCAGGAGATTGGATTCTGTACCCAATACAAGAATTCGTCTTTGGTGAGGAATGTTGATGGAGAAGGCTAGGATCACATGATGTTTCCATGGATGGCAAGCCCACAGTGGAAGATCCGACCGTGGTACATGCTTGCAGCAAAAAGGAGTCGTCATCACGAGACCCCGGTCGGACACCTGCATTCTGAGAAGATTCACTCTCACGTTGAGCAGAATCGTGGGGTGCCAACGTCGGACGGTGTCTTCTATTGTAAAGGGCGAGATGTGGTCAGTTTGTCCTAAGACCTAGGCGATTAAAATTGATCTCGCGTTGACTTACTTCGATGAGGATAGATTATGGAAGCAATTTGGCCTCTCGTGTTTTGAGGAGGGCATTATCACAGGTTAAAATGCTTTCAATGAGAACAACTTTGGTGTCTTGCTAATTTCAACAAAATTTGACATCGAATTAATATGCCGCTAGCTAGTTATGTCTCATTGGTCTGCGGACTAGGGTCTTGCAGGACGGCAGCATTGATCTGATGGGCTAGGCGGCGAAACCAGATTTGACCGCTCAACACAAAAGAGTGAGGGAAGATTGCACTCAAGATAGTAGCCATGGCTAGATACTATGTCCTAAGCCTGAATCGTTTAGAGACGAGAGAGAGTAGGTGAAGTACATATTCAAACAAAGAAATTCACGAGGATTTTTCGAGTCCTACTTGGTGGTAGATTCAACCAACTAAAATCACTACTTACCTTTTGACGCCGCTAGGCTGGATGTGACTCCTGGTTGTGCTGAATAAATTATGCATTCGAATGCCGAAAATACTGTCCAATTCATTCTTAACACGCAGAGCTTCGAATGGACAATTTCCAAATTTCCGTGGAAGCAAGTAGCCGCTGTTTCCAGCGTTGCGACTCCAAACAGTCCATCTCTAGATGAGTGTCCCAATTTCAGACTCTGAGCCTCGATGAATTTTTATTGCAAATAAATTGACATGTCCACTTCCTTAGAATGTATCGGCTGCTCGCTAAGATCTAGGTATCGCAGTCATGCCCTCAACATTCTTACCTATTCAAGAATTGAAAGTCCTCGAACGCTCACTGTGTGAGGTCATCGACAAGATAGACGGGGCATGCAAAGAATTATTATCCAAGCCCCAAAATACAAGTGGTTCCACAACTGAGCACGTCGTGGATGCTCTATTCGAATGCCTCATGCATCATAGACCTTGCAAATATCTGAATCAATCAGATACGCACAGAAAAGTTCATGATGCGGTTGAAAATGACAAACAAGGTATTGGGTATGCGCTTGCGGTCTTCCTTACCACCCACCATTCCTTGCCAAAATCAGTCTTACGGGATGATGATAGACCCGTCTATCTCCTTGGCCATAGAAGAGAATGGGACAAGCTGAAATCTCTCAAACAAGCTCGATCTTGGCTAGTTCTCATGTTGTTCATTGTCTTTGGGGCGTTTTTATGTTTTCAGCAAATCGAGTTGTTGAAAATTACTTGCGGGGAAACGTTGAAAGCTATCCATGAGCGCTGTACTCAGCTTCAAGAATATCTGGCGTCTGGAGATGCTCAGTCTGCTATGGTAAGAAAGTTATTTGTGGCCTAATACAGGGAGAAAATCCAAATGGTTTTTGAATTCCCTAAGCCTCACACATGACGCCTGGATCTGACTATATGATCATATTTCAATCACTTTTGATTACCTTTGGTTAGAAATATAAGCTTTGTCCATGATGGTCAGCTATTAGAACAGGCCCTCAATGGCCTCGTTGACTGACCTTGACATCCCGTGGCACATAATTCGTCTCGACCCGCCCAATGTACAAAAGGTCTCAGTTTCATTGAAACTTAAACTGCGTAATGATCCAAACAGGTACATGCTGCTTGCCACACTCAGTTGCATATATGTCTTAATAATTTCAACAACCTTTGAAGTATGAGAGAAAATACGGCCCATAATGGCGTATGCTTTAAAGACAGATTTACACAGCCAATTGGCGTCTAGTTCTCTTGCCCTCCGAGTATGAGCGCTTAAAAGGGTACGGAAAACCGAGGCTCACCAGATTGTGATCGAGGAAGGAATTGGCTCTATTTTAAGAAAGCGTTTTCTCAACATTGGTCGAGTCAACCAGGGGGAAAAGCATTCGCTCAGCCAGCAGAAATTAGGGACATGAGAGTTAAGGCACCCCTCGACACACGCAAAGTTGAGTCCAAAGCATGAACCATCGTGTGTAAATAAAGCTGGCAGGTGATTTTTTGGATCAAAGCTTTGGCATTATTCTGGTCATGTCGCTTTCCCAGGCATTGAATGGGTATTTTGCCGGATTGTACTAAAAATGGTCTTTGGAGTAGCATTTTCAGCGACAAGTTTACTTGCTTTATTTTGTCATGTTAACGGGTAAAGAATTGATAAACGAAGAGCTACGCACCGTGAAAGTGCAAATATCCCACTGCTGCATAACTCTGGGACGATATTGCGGGTATACGGACGGCCATCAATGAGAAGAAAGAGCTCCAATTTTGGGGTGAAGTTGTCCCGATGATAGATGTTCGGATCCTCATAATCTGTAGAGCTAAAAGAGAGTAATTTTACTATGTAACGGAACCACCTGTATTTTTTATTTCAACAAGCCTGACAGGTCGCCACATTCAAACCTTCAGTTGCCGCAGCTTACTATCGTAACCACATCACACTGCTTTATAATGAAGCAAAAGTAGCAAGCTTTGCAGTGAGATTTTCTCTTTGACATAACTACTCACTCTCTAAACCCTCGCAACAGTACAGTTAGTAATCTTACCCCGCTGCATCCTATCATCAACCCCGTTCTTTTTGCTTTTTGCTATCGTCAGCATCAGACCTACGATCCCATCTAAACGGTCTTCATGAACAAAATGCACTTCCAATAGATGCCCAGGGCAGAGCTTACACATTCAAGAGCAATTTTGGGGCATGCCTACGCCTGTTTTCCCAGACAAAGTGCGTGGCCACGTGGCCCTCATCCTAGATAGTGTGTCAATAATGGTTATGTAAAAGTGATGACAGTAAGGGCTCAGACGCTTGCATAGCCATCTGCCAACTCCCTTCAGATTACCTCGACGATGAAGAATGACGGCGACTACATCCCTATCCCGCCAACGCGAAAGAAGGAAAACAATTTACCCCGAGATTGTCAAAGGACTCATCCTTGAAGATCGATGCATACTACGAGGCACCGATACAAATGTTAGGCGAGGGCAGAGATAGTTTAGGCAATCATTTAATGATTTGGTCTAAACATCAAGGAGGTCTGGGAGAGCTTCGAGATTACATTCGTTGTCGTGATTTTATTCGAGAAGTAGGGAACTAGACATTTCCATGCCAATGCAAACAAGTCAAGCATCAGAGATATTCAGGTGTGATGCTATGGAAATCGCCTGAGTTGGGGATTGGTCAAATGCGTTCTGAGAGAGCGAGAGACCTCGAGGCGGGGGACGGAGGTGTCGCGTGTCTCCAAGTTACAAGCGGACACAACCCTCACTTACGTACTTCAAATACCAACTGTAAGAATCAATACCGGCTCCACTGGCAAGGGTCCGTCGGCGAAACGTACCAATATGTACTAGTGTCTTAAGCAACTGGCCATGCTATTTACAGAAACTAGACAAAACGCAGCGCGAAGAGCTGCAACAGGTTTGCCGGAGCGGAGAGAATGATGATTGTGATTATTTTGTACGCCGTCCCACCCAAAGAAAAAAGAACCCATAGCCAATGTAAATTCCATTGTGTCACCAACAGGCATGTCACCATGAGATTCTGGGTAGAACAAACTATCCGTGCTGGCGTTCACTTTCACTAGGTAAACCAAGTTCTTAATTCCCTGACTTGATTGGTGTATTGTAGACATGTCCGTTGTCTCGATGTTTGTAAAGCCCTGGAAAATGTAATCAATGGCCTGATGGCTTGGAAAAAAGAAGGGTTGAACATGAAAAGAATGTAGGGCCGTTGGGGTGTTGTTGCGATCTAGTGTGCCACAATCTTCCCAACTAGGCTAGGGGTGTAAATTATTTGAATGTATCTTCGGTCGATGTACGGATGGAAGCCGAAATAAAGGAAATTCTTGAAATCAAAACACGCTAGGTACTGAAATTGTTCACCCACTCGCCAATCCGGGATTCCAATTCCTCAGCACTTTCGACCGCCAGAGACCCCGCAACGCCCGACTTTAATGCCCGCTGATACATCCGTCGATACAACTTCACTTGGCTCAACTGAACCAGTAATCCAGCACGCACCAGGGTAGCTGAATTGTGCAACTCTTGCTCAATCTCATCTCGCGTCGATTTCCACTCGCCGAATGGCTGGAAAATCCTCTTGAACAAGTCCTGCAACACGCCATCGTATTCAGAGCCATATCCCTCCCTCATCCTTTTGATCGCGTAATTGGGATGAAATCCTTGAACTACCCGTATTGCGTGGGAGCCGATATTGACTGTGTGGACTCGCTGCGCTCGCGCACCCTGGACCGACGAACAGAGGCTTCGAGCCACCACATGATCATAAAAGCCCCATCGATCGTTTTGAGGTTGGGTGCTGCATTGGCAAGAAATCAGCACCTGTGGTTGGGTGTATTGCAGACATTGGAATGTAAGGTTGAAAGCCTCGTCGACGAATTGAGCTTGATCCTTTTTGTCCAGGTCATTCATGAGATCATCGGTTGCCATTGAGAACATATCCAGGACAATGACGTCCCGAAGGGTAAGCTGCATCGGCTGAAGGGCATCCCGTATCCAGGAAAGTGTTTGCGATCCCTCGATCATCTCATCGGGAGGCAGGTGGTCCAAAGGGCTGGGATTGAGTAACAAGACGGACGGGAAATCGAGTGACCCAGAGAGCAGTTTGCAGAAATTCAGGAAACTCGCCTCGGGGACTGTCCATTTCTTTTGAAAGTCACGTGCCATAATGTATAAAGGATGCAATTCATGGAGCTCTAGTCGGCGAGCTTGTCGGAGTCCCTCGAGCTGAGGTTGAATCACAGCCGATATCAAATCGTCAACGTAGCTGACCGATGATTGTCGATCAGGAGCTTCCCGAAGATAAGCCTCAAACGGGTTGAACGGAGAAGTTTGAGGCTTAACAGAGCCTTTCTCGCCTGGGTCTGTCAATGAAAGAGCAGTGAGGGAGCCATTGAGAGGATCAGGCAAATCCACGTCCGAAGGTGAGACAGAATGGGGCATTTTCACAATGTGTATTATCTAAAACAAATGGACTTGGTTTTGATAATGTTGTCGACTATTATATAGCTGGCACACCATATTATACCTCTTTTTATACCAGGGGGGTTTATGTTTAGCAACCTGGATGCAGCCAGCGTTACATATTCAAGAGCAATCTATCACCACGCATCCGTACTGTTTGCTTACTATGATGTTCACAATTACCACCGACCACAAAAATACCCGACGCATTAGGTAGTAATTTACAAGGAGCTGCACTAGCTCTATCAGGACCGTGGCTTTATAATTAGCTCTAGTGGAAACAACATTATAATTCGAAAGCTGCTTGCGCCGATCGATACCACCTACCACCGACGGGGCATTTTCATCATCCGGATTTTGTCTCAGCTGGAGCTTGTAAGGAAAGAGCCGCAAGCGTCATTAGTAAGATTTCCGGTGCCAAATCAACCCCGTTTTTATCCCCAATCGGTCGCGTCGAAGGAGTTCTGACCGTAAATTGAAATGAGCCTCGTGCCCAACTGCTTTCATCAATCTAGGGTAGGAGCATGCGGCACGAGCTCTAAATCTTCCTTATATTCAGACTAACATCCGCTTCAGAACTCCTTGTTCTTCAGTACATGACGTTCTTGGAAAATACTGATGGAACTGAGGAGAAATTAGAGAGATAAAGGGCACCGTGCAGATAAGCTACGACCGAAGCAGTTGGTGGTGGTTTACCAGGAGCAGCGCGTCCCTCCGACTATGCAAACTGAACAGACTGTCCAGATAAATCCATTTGAGGTGTAGACTTAACCATGTCTTTTGCTGCCACCTACCGCTTATGCCAGTTCTCTCTATTATTCATTCTATATTTAACAATTTAACTTACTGAACAGTGTTAAAATCCCATAAGAAGAAAAGGAATACGCAGCAAATCATATATCAAATTGCAAATACGCCGAAATGTAACTAGCAGTAGACTTATGTTTCCTGTTTGGCATCCTTCATTAGTATGTTTCTTTTTAGGGCCATCTTTTCTAGACAACTTTGGATGTATCCGGCTGCTTCACGGAGCATGGTAAGCCCTCCAGCACAAGCCCCCCCCCCCCCTCCCCCCACCTAGTCTCAATATGTATTGCCAGCCCACTGACTGTGTTAATAAACCGCATAGAGGCGAGGGCAATGAAGACAGGGTCGCCGATTAGCAACGGCATTGGGCAGTTGAAACTAGCACTTGTGTGAGCGGCTGATTGCCGATGTCGATCAAGAGACTTCAGAGATTTGAACGTCCGTGGACATTAGCTACACGCTACGCCTGAAAATTTATCCCCAAGGTCGGACTTGTGGTCTCTCAGGAATGCGATGCCAGTTGGAGAGGAGATGATTTGAGACTCGGTGCTTGTTTCTGAACATGTACTGATAGTATCGTCCGAGGCTTTGATTTGTGGCTGGCCTTGGCCGGAGATTATCTGATCGGTATCGTATGCGCATAGAACACTAAGTTTGCCCCTGTTCATCCCAGAGCGACATGTGCCACTTTCAAAGTGGTGCAAGAGGCATGAAGGACTTTTGAATCGTTTCCGGCATTTAGCACCTATGCATTCCAGATCGTTTAAAGGACGATGGACTAGCGACTCGCGGTATTGCTCCAATGCAGATTGTTTTGAAAAGCTCCAGATAAGCTTCTTTGCGCTTTTGAATGGGCGCTTGAATCTTGTTCTGGAGATGTTGCTCTAGAGCAGAGCTGCTCCCCAAATCTCGATCACGGTCACAGCAGTGAAACTGACCAACGTGTCCGGGTAAGCTCTCATGTTGTCAGAGGGCATCGGTTGATTCGAAATAACTATCACATGGACGACAATAGCAATGCATGGATGATTTTTGGAGTTTTAGCGCCTTGCGACGGGTGAATCGTTCTTTGCAACTTTCGCACTGTTCACTATGGAGCGCAAGTATATGCTAGTCTAAGGCACTGGAAGCTGTAAATTTTTGATGGCAGTGTGGGCATTCACGGTCATGTGTGTCCCTTCCGTGCTGTCTGAAAGCTACAGTGGTTTTCGAAATCAGTTATACCTCCATACTCTTACTTCCTGATTCGGAAAAACTAGTTCCGAGGCGCGCGAGGCTGGTTGGGCTCACCGTCTAGTAATTCTGGCAGAACTGCTCTCGTATTGATTGTGGTACCATGAGTGAGTCATCGTTATATTACGTACTGTACTGTAATGTTCTATCGCCTACTAGCCTCCCTCAAGCCATGGTAGGTGGGCCACTGCCCACTGGCTGGCCCACTTCGATACCTAGTCAATAGAAGCGTGATAGTAAACGGTCGTCTCGCTTTCTTACGAGGTCTCCCTTTTTCTCACCGTCAATCATGGGACTCTGGCTTCCGCTTCCTGTACATTACAATATTCACTATACCACAAAAAGTGTATGGTTCTCGACGATATGATGGACTAATTTGATACATTAGGTCTCCAGTCTACGATGGCCCAAGCTTTCGGCATATCTTGCCAGCTTTGGGTTTTCGACAGCTTGAATTGCCTAGATCCACTTTCTTTAAATGTGAGAATTACTAGTCTTGTATGCACAAAATCGATGAGGAATGCTTCATTCGTATGACTGCCACTCAAATACGTTCGAGTTTAGCTCGAATTTTTGTCCGCTGATAGGATCTTCAAAAGTGCCAGTCCGATGGGACTCCTCCACCTTATATAGGACAAGCCTAGTCTCTAGGAGAAGGTCAACTCCGAAAGAAGGGTAAGCGTGAACCTCTTCGCTGAATTTGTGACGTTTGCTTCGAAGGAACCCTTCAACGGATGCTGCAGCCAGAACACTTCGCACTGGATGCCCTCGGGGCAACAAGGTTGCCGAGGCAATATGCTCAGGTATGAGATAAAAAGTGTTGGTATCAACCTTTCGGTGAAACTTGGTACTATCTGGATGAGGGTTGCGTTTTAAGATGTTCCTGATGTATTGAGCCATGATGTTTTCCAGCCCAATAATATCGTACTTGTCGGCAAGTCTTGCGAGCTCCATGGCGGCCGAAATATGCTCTCCTGGGTCTTCTATCCCAAAACTGATAGTGCGATGGTATAGCCATTGGATGAGTGCTTCAAGGCTGCGCACCGAGACATCGTCCTCAGTCTCTCCTAGAGTGGCCGTCTGCTGCTGTGACTCTAGAAATTCACCGTTGAACATTTTCGAGAAGACCGGCGATTCCGCGCAGAGAAGACCTTTGGAAATCATATATTCCTTGTTGCTAGGCTGTACTCGAAGTTTGACGGAAGGGCCTTGATATAGGGGAAGGATACTAGGGGTTAAAGTGGTCAGATAGCCACTTCTCAAAGACATCTCAGGTACTTACTTGGCCACAAAGTGCTCAGCACTGCCTTCGGGGGCGTCGGTCATTATACGCTCAAGGGTTGATCTACCCACTATTATGGTCAGTTATCGAGAACGACAAGTGTGGTTGGAACGCTGGTCGTGGGGCGTCGAGATAGTCGCAGTTTCCGGAAGTGCTGTAATGCTGTGGCGGACAGAAAGAGGGGAACAGAGCAAGGCGTATTCTCGCATTGTGCAGCCAATTTCTTGTAAAATACACCTACTATGATGTCATCCTACTGTATTGTAAGATACAGCTACCAGTCTAGAAAGCGGTCTGAAAAGCGGGCTCTTATCACCTGTCCAATCAAGAGCCACGGCTTGCGGATCTATTATCCGGGAGTCTAGTCACAAGAGTGCGGAGGTATAACTGAATTCGAATACTACTGTATCCATACCATGAACATGAGTTCAGAGAGCGCAGAGTCCATGATCCAAATTTTGGTGAGACCCGTTCTTGCAAAAGTGGTGGTGCTGAGAAGAAGCGATTTGAAGACATCAGCTGAGTCACCATACCAGTAAAAGGCTATGACGGGAAAACCACTGTTGAAGCCTAAGATCATGTCCTTTTCCAGTCAGTCGAGAACCATGTAATAGGCTTTTCTGGGTGCTATCGTTTCTGTGTATCCCCTCCATTTCAAACAATGCGCTCTTGATGCATTGCTACCTAACTCCGCTCGCTTCGTTCAGCTTGCTGCAACTATGTCGGTTATATAGCGCGAATCACTCGTAAACCACCCATCATACTCCAGCTTAGGCCTTGAAAAGTCCCGCAGCACTAAGTGCTTCGTCTGTGCTGCAGTGCTGCGGCGGGAGAGATTTGAGACACTTTCGTCGAATCTACACTACACTCCCTGCCATTTATTAATTGTCAGGTTACTGTGAACTAATTTCTGTCATCCGATAACCTTAAACGTTCAAATTTTCATCAAACATCGCTTTTACATAAGTCAGGGCTTGAATTATCCACGGTATTAAGAGCGGCGGGAAAGGCGTGAAAATGTGTCTGTGCTACTCGTATAGCAAACGCACGGTAGAAAAAGCGGTAGAAGCAAACAAAAGAAGGCTTACGACTCAGGTAGGAAGCACAAAAGACCTCTGGCTAATAGGATGCTGCGATCATACAGATTCTGACGTGTCAATCTACCGCTGTGACGATTACATGGGTCAGGTGAGGATGAAGCTGACCCATCGGCCAATAAAACATCGCGACGGGAAAAACCAAACAATACGAAGCACATTACACGAGAGCTCGCGCCCGCCTTGTTTTCCCCTTCTCTGTTATTCAGTCTTGATATCTTCATTTCCACATTTTATTTTGATTTGCTTCCCTCATAACAGCCACTTCCTCTACCACAGTCCCAATGGACACTCTTTCGACTCGCTCTCGAAACGTTGCTTTATCCACCTAATTACTGATAGACCACATTCATACCTCCTCTTTCTATTGCTTCTGTTCCCATCGGGCTTTCGATTCCATCAGAACGACCGTCATAAATAAAATGGTACGCCCAAAAGATGTCCAGGGTAAGATTTACAAATTCAAGAGCACGTCAGAATGCTTTGCTTTGGGCATACCTCCTCCTGTTCTGCCAGACAAAGTGCGGGGTCACATGGTCCTTGTCCTTGGTATTATACCAGGAAAACTTGGTTATGTAAAACTTATGACGGTGAGTGCTTAAAGATCTAAATAGTCCACTGCTGACTCTCTTTAGATTACCTCGACGTTGAAAGATGACGGCGACTACGTCCCAATTTCGCCTACACCAAAGAAGGGATTTTCAATCCAGCTTCGATTTCGAAGCTATCTTAAGTGGCATCATGGAGATGCGGCGCGGGTTATTCCGAGATTGCGAGAAAATTCATACTTAAAGATCGATGCATATTACGAGGTACCGATACAAACGTTAGTCGAGGCAACTGACGATTTCGGCAATCAGTTCATGATATGGTCTAAACATCGAGGAGGTCTGGGAGAGCTTCGAGACTACGTCCGACGTCGTGATTTGATTCGCGAGCGGAGAAGTCATTTAATTGGCGAGAAGCATACTTGAAAGGGAAGGGTCTGAGAATGCATGGGCCTATGGATAATAATGATCAATGACGAAAAACCTATTCGCAGTAGGTATTCTACGTTATACATACTCATATACGAATCAGTATTGAATTTACCCCTACTTTGATTGCTGGTACAATGGTACTAGGATGGACTTCGAAAACACGCATGTATTTTAGAAGAATATGAGCCGAGAGGAACCCAGCCGACAGCTTGCCACTTGAACTAGTACAGAGTCGCTTCACTACAGTGGCGGCTGGTGCGCTGAAAACGCCCCGAGAGAGCGGTAATACAGTAGTAGTAAATGCAGCAGTAGTAGTAGTTGAATTCATTTACCCCGACCTCTCGCTGAGTTGACTCTCAACTAGACCAAAATATGAATCCGTACCCAGCCTAGTGGGTTGTGGTTTAGAATCCAACTCGCCGAAGCAATATACAGTTCTAGTCAAACGCTTTTGAGCCGAGATCAACGCCCAAGGTGGATTGTACGGAAATGCCCTCCAAGCTGCGTCTCTCAGAGGACACGACAAGATCGTGCAGCTACTGCAAGAGAAAGGAGCCGAGATCAATGCCCAAGGTGGAAGGTTCGGCAATGCCCTCCAAGCTGCGTCTCTAAGAGGACACGAAAAGATCGTGCAGCTACTGCTAGAGCAAGGAGCCGAGATCAACGCTCAAGGTGGAGAGTATGGAAATGCCCTCCAAGCTGCGTCTGAAGGAGGAAACGACAAGATCGTGCAGCTACTGCTAGACAAAGGAGCCGAGATCAACGCCCAAGGTGGAGGGTATGGAAATGCCCTCTAAGCATATCGTGAGAGCGGACATGATTGGACTGGAAATTCTTTAGCACCTAAGATGCCAATCAACCGATATCCCTCCCCCTCTTCTACAAAAACCACCACTCAGCGACTCACGAGGTTTCCACAATTCATACGTAGTTCAAGACAGTTCTCATTCTCATGTAAAACATTACTTCGATGTCTTGACACTTTTGCTATTTTGATAGCGCTGCGATATTTTAGGTTGCCTTTAGTTCACTACACATTGGAAAATGTGCACAGAATCTGTCAAATTTTGTCCATGGAACGATCCCCTGTACCGTAATGGGATAGATAGGATAAATTACTTTAACGCAAGCTCTGTAAGTCCAGTGAATAATCAGATCTGTTCTACCATTGCACCTATTCTGGGAGGTTCTCACTAAGCTGTGATGGGGGGGCAGTTGTTCTGTAAACCTTTTACATTATACAGTCATAGTGCTGTCATATTCACGGATTGTATCTATTATTAAGCGGAAGTGGGGTGAATTCTAAGCACTAGTCCCTTGGCAGTGGGGCCGGAGACAAGAAAAGCGATCAGTGGGGTAGAAGCCGTTTTCGCTATCGACTGTATAAGATGTATTGCGCCTCTAATTATGAGTTTAGGAGAGCATATTTGTTCTAGAACGCAAGCTGATGTCGGCTTATTCACAGATTTCATCGACCTTCTGTTTTGACCAAGCAGACCTCGCTTGAGCTGAGATTATGATAATCTTGACCAGTCTTCCCCCAAGAGCTGGAGAGTGTGGGATATACTGAGATCAAGACTAAATGTTCCATTTCTCACTTCAAGGTTATTTTTATGATCAAGTTCATTCATGTCACAGTTTCGCAGACCAATGAACGACCCAAATCTCATACGTTTCGTGCAAAGACTGATGTCGCTCTCTTCCGGGGTACCAATCCAGGGAGATAAATGCGTTGGATATTGCCAGGTCGCGTGAGTAGGCGGCCAGGTTTGGTGGAAGTGCCGAGCAAGCCCGTCAAGTTGACGTGATGTCAAGAGATTGAAAGCCAGCATTGTTGCTGGAAAATCCGGGTGTGGCTGACCTGTTGTGACAGAGACTAGCGGAGCCAATGGGGCCTGAAGATGGCAAATAAGGCCCCGAAAACAATTGCTAACGCCGATTCTCGCGTTTGGGACGATTCTCTTTGATTCTAGAATGGATTTTGACTTGCGCAAACGAGAAACAGACGGGCGGTGATGACAGCGACAAGATTTTCGGTCCGTGTGAAGACATCTTCGAATCTTTTGGCCCGGCATGCCTGAAGGATGATTGACAACGTTTTGGTAAAGTGATCAAAGGCTGGATTGTGGGAAGATTTATAAAGGTGACTGGGTAGTCAGGGTGTGAATTCTTGTTCCTGTGGCACTGGGGCCGGAATATGTTCATCTGGAGTGACCAAGAATGATTACTGGAAAATCAAACAGCTTCTACGACAAAAATAGATGGCTTGAGTATGGAACTGTTTTTGTTATTTTCAGTAATTGATTTGACAGGTTCCAAGGTTCCAAAGGATTTTCAGATTCTACTTCCCACATGGATGGTGTTTAGGCGCATACATACTACGCAGGCGGACGCGTGATAAGTACTGTACTGCCAATTAGCCCAGACATATTTTCAAAGCCAAAATACACCTTCTATGTCAGTCTTCTATGTATATTTCAAAGCTCCGTGGAACCAATTCTACCTAGTGGGCCTAATTGGGACGGTGACCTCACCTATGGCCATGGCGACCGTTCGATTGGCGGCAGACGGTCGTGCGTATCTCAAGGTCATATCGGTGTGCTGATCTAGTTTCAAGGAATCACACTTTGTTTATCGACAATCGAATCGTTGTGTAAAAGACGAGAAACGATGGGGTGGGAGGCTCCATTGATCTACGTAAGCTTAGGGGTTACCGATACTCAATACCGGCGCTCGATCTTGTACTGTACTGTAACTATTTGCTCATTGCTTCTGGTCGAAAATCTTACTGCTTCGCTGAGCTCTGGTGAAACACCATACACAGCACAGCACGAATGCGTCTTTCGCGCACACAAACACACATCCCCCAATGATACTTCGCCCTCCTCGACTTTGAAGGAGAGCGATTGGGCCATCATTCACATCACACAGGTCAACTGTAAAATTTGCAGGCATGAGTAAACCCAGAAAGTCTCCCATGACCCCAAAAAAAGGGGGCATAATGAATGCCGTCAAGACATTGATCTCCAAACTGACCACGTTCGGCGTAGTATGTCGACTATTCAGGCTGAAAAGAGACCCCGCAGGAGGGGTTTCACGATAAGTCTGCAAGAACTTGGCCACCGCTGTCCTCCATTGTCTCTCTTTTCCCGAGACTATCATGAGATACAGGCCGCGATAAACCTGTCGAAGGCCTAAAATCAACAAACCTCCCTTGATTGGTGTCACAGGGCCAGATGCAATTTCAGATCTTCCCAAATACAGACCCACCAGCGAGACAAACCAGAGGACAGGATTGGTCACTTGGTAGTCGGTTCGTAGCACGGCAGTTGCCGGTAAAATAAAAGCGGATAGAAATTGCTTTGTGCTATCACGCAAGTTTTGTTGATTGGTACCGAACATGAGGTACAGCGAGAACGAGCCATGCGCGTAGCACCCTGCCAGTAGCAGACACAAAACAAGGAACCCCATAGACGGCAAGGCCCCGAAATACACAGCCCTTTCAACCGCAAGGAAGAGTTCCCCAAGGACTCTATGGGGCTGGGTGAAGCGTATGTTTGTCTGGCAACACGGACAGATCACTTCTGATGCACGGCGAGTATCGAGAGCGGAGTTTGACTGTAGGTGCTCTATCCAGTCTAGCAGACAGGACTCATGGGCTTTCAATTCACATGGGCAAGGCGAACTCCAAACTGATCCTGGGGGACTTTCTGTCGTATTATACTGGTGGCAAATCCAGCATTTGATCACAGTCTGATACTTTGCCATGTATTATGGACGGATAGATTCGAATAAGTTACTGAGTCTTCAGCATGGATTCCGCGAAGCAGGGTGACTGGAAATGGGCAGAATCAACCAGCAAGCTGGGTACGAGTACATAGGCCTTGATGAAAGAACCAGCGGAATCTTGCACCAACGTCCTGGTATCATGATTTGACTACGTATTGATGCTGTCAGCCTCAAAAACTTCCCTTTCATAGTCGCACTGGATCCTTTGCATGTATCATTTGAAGATTTCGCGGAAGTTTAGTCTTTTTTTTTTTTTTTTTTTTTTTTTTTTTGGCGTAGTACGCTTTCAGTACGCTGGACTAGCTGCAGAGACAAGGAAATATACCCAGAAGCCGGGCCCTCCTACAACTAGGCCATTAGTGGTTGACGACTCTCCGCACTTTTCTTAATCGCCCCAACACCGTCAACACGCCATTCGAAGGAGTGATCGAATCCTTGCTCTAGAGTTTCTTTGAGAAATTGCTAATTGCGACAGATAAATTTCCAGATCTGCAAGTTAAGTCTCTATGAGATTAAAATCAAGAGAATCAGGGGCCAAATACACGAGCCTTACGCCAGCTTCTGAGCGCATTTATTCTATTCTGTCCGAACAATAAAAAGGCGCGTAGTCATTACTTGTCAAGAGTATGACCTGGCCATTTCCCACAGTGCTAGATAGCGTGCTCGACGAAACCCTCAAAGGCGGAAGCGTTAGTTGACTCCTGGGATGTTCGAGACCAAAGAACGCCGTCTTACGCATACGTAGGTATGAAGAGTGTGATAACGCCGATCATGATGATGTTCGACACAAATATCGGTGCGGTGCCGGAAGGGGACCAATCTATCGGGCGGAAGTCTACCCTTTTACATGTACATAGCAGACCCAGATTTATCGCCATACAGGTAGACCAATGATAAGACTTGGAGACTCAAGGGAAGATGATGGTGTTCGTCCTGAAGCTCAAGGTTGTATTCTTGTGCCCCCGTCTCAAGCAGTCTTTTTGGACCAGCCCCAGGGCTTTAGGGCGCAACTGATACTCGATTTCAATGCTTGAAGAGCGGATTCTCCCCATAGAAAAACCATCATATCATCCAGATATGTATATTGTAGAGCTCTAAGGCAGATGGCCGCACCAGGTCCCCAGCATAATTGGAGTAATCCAGTCGCGCTCGAAATCAGTTTCATTATTTCTTCTCGTTGATGGCGTTCCAGCAACCATTTGTATCGACACTAGGCCTGGTGTAGCTACGGTATCATTGTTACCTTTTTCCTACTCGACAGCCACGGATGGGCAATGCCAACTGTAGGCCGAGATGGGTCTCACTTAGACTTGAGATAGAACCAAAGAGAATAAAATGGTGAAACCAATGACGAGCGGACCTGCACTACGTCAGTTGTCGTCCACCTTTGATTGGCGGTGCTTTCATGCTGGCAAAGACTCAGGTGTTGAAGGAGATTTTTAAGATGGTGCCGTTGGTGCTCTTGTCGCAACCAGCGGTCTCGTCCATCTGAGTTATAAACAAATCGTTTCCCACTGTGAATCATGCCATGAATAAGCTCATACTTGACTGGAGCTACATATGTTCTGAGACATCTCTGTCTAAAACACTCACCCGAGATTGATCTTTAAGTGCGTCCTTCGAGGGACCCCATTTGAGGGAGGGGCATAAAATTGCTCTATGTAATTAAATTACAAAATAGACAAGTACATTGACTACGATGTGACCTGCGAAGGAAGAAATACACTGGCAATTACCTAATAAACACCCAACATAAACCAGAGCGGCTTGTCGCAAGTGAGAGAAAAGCCAATTGAAGAGTGTGTTAGCTGAACCGGTTTGGCAGATCATGTATCGAATATGTCGACTAAGAAGGCAGAGACGGGAATGGACGAGATCGATGACTTGGAGTGGTGACAGGGGAGCGAGGGGTGGTAGAGGCCTGCTTGGAATCAGTTTCACCATGTTTTCTCTTTAATCATTTTTTCAATCTTGTCGAGACCAACTTCTATGTTCATCAGGCCTAGCGCATTATCGACTGTCGAATAGTAGTGAGGAAATCAATATACGTTAGCTATCGTAGATTTAGCTTCAGTCAAAATAGAGGTCAAAAATCGAACAAAGAGAAAAAATTGGCGAAACTGAATTCGACCACGTCTGTACAGAAGGAGCAAGCAGAGGCAAGGAAAGACTGAAAGTACTTGACCCTACATACGACTAGACAAACCTCTGGGCTGTTGCGATCTTCACCAAGTCTTTGTGGTCGGAACATGATATATCCGCTGGATGAAAGATATGACAGTCCATGAGGGCGACGGTAAGAAGTCAAAGGGGGTCCCTGCGTACAGAAAAGACCCCTGGCCAATGAAAAAAAAACGGATACAAATTGATCTGTATCATGGCTCTCGACGTTGGTTCATACATGAAGTATCAAATCAGAGCCATGAATTCTTCCCCTTTCATTACCAAAATGGCCAAAGGACATATTTCAGCCTCGAGACTGCCCAGTAACCAAGGCACTGTCGCTCCGTCTTTGGCTATGATATCACTTTTCCGAAGGGGACGACAGGTGCCTGTCAAATGTGCATCCACAATGTCTTGAACAAATACCACACGGGTTTTTTTCGAACCGCAAAAATATCCTTCTAATAGGCTACTGACTTATCTTATTTCGTCAACAGACCTCAACTATATGTATCTTGCCAATTTTGACGATCCTGTAAACTGACAGTCATGACAAAACACAAGATTGGAGACACATAATAACCGAGGTGCGTCTGGGGCGTGAGGCTAAAAATGATGGCTGTCCACGTGCTATTGTCTCGCAATAGAAGAACCACGGGTAGGTGATTTTTCGTAGAGCTCAAGCTCACCAAATGTGGACCCTCGATTTTGCTCAGCTCTTTAAGACAAGATAACTTGCGGAATTAACCTGTCTCAGTGATAGCTGCCGGGCCTGTGCCATGTTCTTCGCTTTACCTTTCTGCTTGGCTGTCGCGCAGCTCACTAGTGCTGCATACAACCCCACCCTGACCAGCATGAATGAAACTACAATTGAGACTCGCAATAGAAGCATGTTTCGCTCTGTGGCCTACTTTGTGAATTGGGTTTGTCGGTTCTCGGCGCGCTCTAACAGGGCCGCCCCAGCTAAGCAAACACATCTAGGGCACTTACGCTCGTGACTTCCAGCCACAAGACATCCCCACAGAGCGATTGACTCATATACTGTACGCGTTCGCTAATGTTGAGGTCTCTGGTAAAGTGGTCCTCTCTGACACCTGGTCGGATACGGACAAGCACTATCCCACCGATTCCTGGACCGATACCGGAAACAATGTCTATGGCTGCATCAAGCAACTCTTTTTGCTCAAGAAGAAAAATCGCACTCTCAAGGTTCTTCTGTCAATTGGAGGGTGGGATTTTTCCTCCAATCTCAGAACAGCCCTCAAGAGCCAGGACGGACGGCAGAAGTTCGCTGATAGCTCTGTCGAGATATTAAAAAATCTCGGCTTTGACGGTATTGACATTGATTTTGAAGTATTTACACTCTCTCCATTCCGGGTATTTCATGCTAATCAGACAGTACCCTGCGAATGGTGTCGAAGCGAGCCAATTTGTTGACACCCTGTGCCGTCTTCGTCAGGTAAGTTGGTGTGGGTGTTTCGCCGACTCCGTTGACTTGAATCCGTTAAGGCGCTTGACTCGTACAGTGCAGTCGAGGCTGACGGCTATCATTTCTTGATCACTGCGGCATCACCAGCTGGTGCGCGTTCTACTCTCATTTACTACCTCACATGAAGAGCTGACTCAAATTCCAGGCCCCACGAATTACGAGAAGCAGGACCTTGCTCGGATGGATCAATATCTTGATTTCTGGAATCTGATGGCTTACGACTATGCAGGAAGCTGGGACACCGTTGCTAGTCACGACGCCAATGTTCACCCATCCAATGACAACCGAAGAAGTACTCCCTTCAACACAGACCAAGCAATCGAATACTACACCTCACATGGCGTGCCCTCAAACAAGATTGTCATGGGTATGCCGCTGTACGGCAGGGCATTCACAAACACCGACGGTCCTGGTCAATCCTACAGTGGTGTGGGTGTCGGTAGCTGGGAAGATGGTGTGTGGGATTACAAGGCTCTACCCCAGCCCCACTGTGCTGTGACAACATTACATCAAGAAATTGCTAGTTACTGTTACAATCCCCTGGCACGACTGTTCATCAGCTATGATACCCCGGAGATTGCACGGAAGAAGGGGGAATACATCAAGTCTAAGGGCCTTGGGGGTGGTATGTGGTGGGAGCTCAGCGGCGACAAGTCGGGCAATGAAAGTCTGATTGCCACGGTACGTCTTTTCCATGGGTGATAATTGATTCCATGACTGAAGAAAGAGTTTTGCAGGTTGTGGATACCGTTGGAGGCGTTGGTGTCATGGACAAGAGCGAGAACCAACTAAATTACCCTACCTCCAAGTATGACAATCTGAAAGCCAGGTTTTCATAGACCTGCATCCATTGTTGTTGAAGATCGAATGGAAGAATCGTGTTTTTAGCTTGAAAGGTTCATCAGAATTTTAGTCCTTAGGTCACACTCTCTTTTCCCCTCCCTTTCCCCCGCGTATTCTTTCTCCATTAATTCTTTTTCGGCGGTCTGTTGCCCCAAATAACATTTTCTCCCTGGTATATCTAGCATTTCATCATTTCTGTAAATTTCAAGCCTATGATGAAAAATATGCATATTCTGGAAAGGTATCGAGGACGCCGACTGATATTAACCGCCAATGGTTTGCTCAGGTTAGCTCTCAGACATAGCGTGAATCGATATAGTCCAACAACATACAACATACAATACATAATTTCTGAATGTATATTTGCATTAGCGATTGATAGCGTGGATTAAATTTTTATATTTGAGACTTGAGCTGTGTATTTCATAGGCTTGCTTGTAGGCGTTTGTGATTCGCCGCTGTCATGACAAGGTCATGAACTGAGTCGACCACCACATGTGTGGCATACATTTCACGTGGTTATAGTTCACTAGATCGCATGACATTTCGAGATGGTTCCCGAGATGGATGGCAAGAAACCGAGAGTGAAGTGAGAGGCGGAGATGCGATGATCAGAAGACGGGATGACGAGTGGTACATCCGGGTTTCGTAGATACATGTACCATGTTGTGAAAGTCCTAAAATTTTCAGAGTGAGCTATGATAGGATTAGTAAACGGCCCCTGGGTTCATCTCTAGTTCTTCTAATAGTTACAGTACACAACATATGACCCTTGCTCCCACCTTCGAATATCTTTCAAAGCGGCCCACTAAAACGCCCTGACCTTGTGGACTGTTGACGAAGGAACTCGATATCTCAGACTGTTCTAGCTAATGAACTGCACGGTGCGTGTGGTTTTTGCCTGAGATTGGCTCCCGTCTAAGAGCCCACGCCCCCACATCATTCCTTCTGGATACACAGAAGCCTCCTCTTTTGCTTGTCCCATCTTTTTTCTCTCGTCTTTCAACGTATTTCGCATCTTTGATATATTGCTTCGGCAAGCTCGGCAACCCATTGAGTGTACCAACCTTTGAGGACTTTTCTTCTGAGCTAGTGCGCAAACGACATCAAACTATACACATCTCCATGGTGGCCGTAGTCACTGGGTTTATGAAAGAAAGAGCCACGGGGATTCTTTTCACCTCGTCGTATGCAGTAATAGTTACAAATGTAGACATAATATGAGAGGATCCTAGTCGATATCATTCGTAATATGAGTGCTGATATCGCAGGAATACGTATCTACTCCAAATATCTCACCTAGAGATCCACGACTGCACCGAAGTAGTTTGAGTTATATCTGCTTTAGTCACCCCCGCTCAACCTTTTTTTTCTACAAGCCCCTGGTCAACTGCATATACACTTTGCTTGATTCATTTTCCCGAAGTGGACCTCGTTCAAACCGAACATGTCAATTGCTTTGGTCCATTGGTTTGGCGAGAGGTTGCGAAGTGACGCCCAGACGGATGATGTAATCGCTTCAGTCAGTCATCTTCCAGACTCCCTCAAATCTGATTCATCAAGGAAGATAAGAGTAATTGTTTTTCCCATCAGGGCCCTCCCTCGGAAGAAGCACACGTTTCACGCCTCGGGCGTGGCGCCGAAAAAGGGGCAAAACTCGATCACAACGTCGGCTCTTCAGAGATTTCCGGGAATGACGCCAAGGTCCTGCGCAAGGTCAAACGCAGGGCCTACCTGCTAGACTATGCTCTGTTCAACCTATGTGGGATTCACTTTGGATGGGGTAGTGTCATCGGCCTCGTGCCATTGTAAGTTACTTCGTGACCGCCTGAATTTGGGAGAGCAAACCATGAATGCCAAGTGTCAATCTTTTATAGAATCGGAGACGCTGGCGATGCGTTTTTTGCGGTAATGATTGTGGGATGCTGTGGGACGATCGATGGCGGACTTCCCTTGGCTCTTCGCTTGAAGATGATGGGAAATGTAGTTCTCGACTTTGTCATTGGACTTCTCCCATTTATTGGCGATCTTGCTGATGCAATGTACAAAGCCAACACGAGAAATGCGCAAATCCTGGAAGCCTACCTGGGTGAAAAATGTACCGTGGACACGTCACAACAAGCTGACCGATTGAAGCAAACGGTTGCAGTTGATCCCAGCCCCCTTGGTATTTCTTCCGAACATGACAACAAAGTCCCAGGACCGAAGACTCCTGGGGTGATACGCAACACGCGCCATGAGACACCTACCAGAACAGAACGACACTATGATGGATGGCCTATTTCAGCGGACGACAGCCAACAGGATTTAGAGAGAGGCAATTAGGGAATCTAGGACCATGACCTTCATCTCATTTTTCAATTACAATCTTTATGTTGAACGGTGGTATTCCATGGCTATTATTATCTTTATCTCATCGTTCAGGGAATCTTTGTCAGAGCCGTGGGTCTGGGACACCTGGGAAAAAAGAAAAAATCGATGGATTCGCAGCTGAAATCGAGAACAGATCTATGATGGATAAAGGCAGTGTCGAGATAGAGGAGGAGACATCATGAAGTTGCGATAGTGCCGAGTCTGTGCGTATGGTACCCGGACATAGCTTGATATCTTGATCCTGGGGCTCTTTTTGTGGGTATTTTTGACATCATAAGCGATCATGGAGGCTGTTTGTGTGGATATTCTCTATGGGCTCACCACCCTCGTTTCAAGATCGATGCGGGGCCCACTCTTGTCTTATGCCGTCCGTGCAGTGATAAATGTATTCGCAGGATTTTGAGGTCGTCATAGATAACCAGTGATGGAAAATTGCACCAATCAACTCGATGGAATACTTGCAAATACACAGGGCGTTTTGATCCGGGTCATCTGTCAAAGCGCTCTTTATGCAACACTTTGTGTTCCGATGCTGATCAGATGCCGGTGAAAGTTTCTGGGGGATGTCCTATGCCCTCAGCTTCATTCTACGTTCGGTTCGATAAACATACCTAATCCTGTGTTAGGTCTCATTGTCACAGCAAGTGCATCTTATGTCATCGAAGCCCCGGTGCGGTTTGATTTCATCTTACATATCTTTGAATTTGAAATGAGACTCACACTTGTTTTTCAGGGGCGCGGGCGGCGGAGGTGAACATGCGTGGGTTCATCGTCGTGCCCGATATGTCCTCACAACCTTCACTGGCATTGCATTCCTCATCCATATCAAGCTCATGTGATAGGTGTCTCATGCAGGTAGGAACCAGATGAAAATTACGTACGTAGAGACTAGAAATGACCTCGGGAAGGTCAAACCCTATTGTTCCACGGTTCTCAGTGACTTTGAATTTCATCAACTTAGACGCCAGCTCCACTGCCTGTTTGATTGAATCATTTGTCTGACACCTAGGCAGTTCCGAATGCAAAAACCTTGTCACTTTCAGATCCCTCCCCTACCGCTGGGTTACACATACCTTTCCTGCCCACGAATTCATAGCCCTCAGCCTGGTCTCAGAACCCGATGTCGCCTAGAGTGGGATTCTCCGAGTGCTGTTTACTTTCTAAGTAAACCATTTCAATATGAAATATGATACATACAACCACAAGGTGTGGGCACCAGGACTAAGACCAACGCGCCGGTAGGAATAGTATTTGGGCCGGTGACCACCAGCTAATTCGCGCTGTTGGATGTGTTTCCCTTTCTGCGTTCTTTTTTTTTTTTTTTCTTTTTCTTTTTTCTTTTTTCTTTCTTTCAATTTAGGTCCTCCTAACTGCGTATGTGATTGCGATAGCGTACGGCTATGAGCGTCAGACTTCAAGCTATTGTTCAGGAACATTGGAAATCGGGATTCACAGTCGCTTTTTCAATAGACGAACGGAAACCCACTTGGGCTGTTTTGGATCGCGCCAATCTTTTGGAACGCACAGGTACTGTTTGGCTATTGAGTACGGTTTCCTTCGTGATCATCAATGACGAGCGGCAGATCGGCGAATTTGCGAATAACAATGACTGTAACGACCCGATCACTCGCTACCACTTCGGGCTTTGAAGACTAGAACTGAAGCAATCTTACCAGCGTTCGGCAGTAGAAATTGTGCTCGGGGGTCGTAAAGAGCTTTGATGAAGAGTGAGAATCAACATCATTCCTCATTAAATTACGGTGATATCAAGAGAAATCACAGTAGGGGATTTGGATGGCCAGCCAACGGTGTAGGCTTCCCAGCTCAACGCGGAGCTTAATATCAAAGCATCGCTGCTTGCCCATCTCCTGTACCATATCAATGCTACCCCTTGCATGGAACGATCTACCGGTGGGCAAATTACCTTGTTATCTTAGCCTCACGGTGAGGTTTGGCCCCACTGAGCGTGGCGAACCTGACTCTATGGCTACCAGCTGGAAAGTCTTATCAGCCAGCCCACCCGCTTCCTCGATGAACCCTATATTCCAGCAAAGAGATATAGCGTGGGCGTGTTATATTGGGCCGGAAATTGTTGGCATACTCAACACCTGCGTCTTGGAGATTTGTTTTGCATTTCTCTGCTCTTCTGCTGAGCTGCTTATGGTTCGTCATCGACGAATCGACCCGTTCAGTGTGAGGTACGCTTCGTTCGGGTTTCATAATTGAAGGATGAGACTGAATATCCTCCACCAGCGCCGGAGAAGCTAAGAATAGTTTTACTTCCCGAGCAATGGTTGTTGTAGAGATGGTCTGCCAGACGATTAGGGATCTTCATACAACGAGGGATATTATGTTCATCTCCGTGGTGGTGCCAGTTGGGGCGAATCTTTCCTCTCACTGGGCGGGGCGCCTAACGGGAGGCTTTTCTTTCTGAGATTTACCACAGCCCTTTTTCTCAGATAAAAGACAGTAGGGTATAGGTCGTGGTTAGCAAAAACAAGGATACTCAGCTGGTTTTCACCGTGGTCCTTTCTGGGTGAGTAGCGTGTTCGTGTGAGAAAGACAAGCAAGCTCAATTCCCTCTGTCGTTTTACTTTTAATATGTATTCAATGATGAGTTACA